ATCAAACCGGCTCCTGTTTATGTTGTAATGAATCAGTTTGATGTTTTGACATGTTGTGAAACAATGCAAAAATAATGAAAAATAATGTAAAATGAAAGGCCATGAAACAAAGCACAGATCTGAAACCTCCAAGATCTCGAAATTCCAAAGCATATTCCTTAAGTTGCCTTCTGCTGGCAGCACAGGGAATACTCCTTGCTTGAGGAGACACTTTCCAAAGCTCATTGGACTGCACTTTGGGTGCCCAGCCCTTTCTTAGGTGTGATGGGGACAGTCCCGCACCCCTGGGTGGGTGGGCAGACCCTCAGCCTCAGCACTACCCAGCAGCATCCCAGTATGTGGCTGGTGGTAATGGGGAGGCCAAAGATGTTTTGACACCTTCTTCCCCCTACTCCCCCTTGAAGAGGAACAAAATACACTGTTTTCTGAAGAAATCTTCCAAAATGCAGAGGAGAAATACCATTATCCCCCAATTCTGACAGCCTCACAGCTCCACCTTGCACGGCTTCCCTATAAATGCCCTGCTCCCCCTGCTCGCCCTCCTGCACCCCTGGGGCTCCTGGCATGGACAGGTCTGAGGGAAGGGGCTCTCTCTCCCACCAGCTCTTGGTCAGTGAATTAAAATCCAGCCCTGATTTCAAAGGCTGTTATGTGGGGAATGTTTTGGGTCACTTTATGTAAAAATCACTGATGTTTTGGGTGTCTGGATGTCCGCAGTCCTGCAGGAGTGCAGCACACTCACACTCACAATACTGAATGGAGGAGGCGTGTGGTGCAAACCCAGTGGTGTCTGCTGGCTGATGAGCAGTGGAGCCCCAGCTTTAGGACTGTGTTCACCATCAACTCTTCAGGGTGATGTCCAGGGGGGTCCCGCACCAGCCCCTCTAGAGCTGTGGACACCACACCTGGCCTGGCCACGGTGTGAGGACAACATGGAAGTGGTGGTGAGGAGGAAGAAGTTGTTCCTCCAAGGGCTGGTCATGAACTTCCTGAGCGCAGTTCTGGGCTTGGTGATGTTGCTACCACAAAAGAACGAGGTGTTTCTCCACAGGCTGTCTATGCTTGTGTGAAAGCTGAGGCGCAGGATTCTTGCCTGAAGTGTCGTGGGAGTAAATATTTGACTTATTACTCACGTAAAGTTGTTGTTGACTTGTTGCTGTGTTTTCCCAAGCTCATGTTTTTCCTTTTAGTAAGGTTTATTGTGTTATATACATCCCCAGTGCATGCAAGAGTGGAAATGCTTCCTGTCAGGGTAATCAGGGAAACGATTTATCTCTTCAAGTCTTTGAGGGTGGTTACTTCAACCAGCCACATTTAGTTAATTTAAAAGGAGCCCATGGTATCTGAACCTTGTTGGGTTTTTTTAAAGCAACATCTGGCAGAAGGATTAGGGATTCATGGACTAAATGGATGAGGGACTCCTCTGACCTTTCTCAGCTCTGTCAATGACTTTGGCTTTCCAGAAGAGCCCTCTCTTTTGACCTGCACCCAGTGGAGTCAAGCAAGTGTTGGGTCACTCATATCTAAGCATGGCTGTTGTCATTTGCACTGGAGAAACCTCTAGAACGATGGGGACTGTGCCACAGCAAGCACTATAGAAATGCACAAAGAACTTGATTCAGATCCTGAAGGCCCTTATACTCTAAAAGAAATCAGAAAGGTAGAAGAGGAAATGGGGTGGTACAGCATAAAACCAGCAGAGGAACCATCCAGATTCTTGCCTTTGAGTTTATGAGACCGCACTGCATTGGTGCCCTGGGACCAGCCACCCCTCTCCTGTCCCAGAGCTCCTCTTTCCCCGTGACCGTGTCTGTCCTCTCTGCAAGCTTTCAAGCAACAGCAGGAAACCTTTTGCTGCCAAATCATTATGCATGGCTCTGGTCTGAAATGCTGACAGTAATGTGAAATACTGCTGCTCCCGGAACTGAAACTGCTCTGGTATCACCCCCGTTTACCATGAAGCAATGTCTTTTAAAGCCTCTTGCATTAGGTGTTGAAATTACCTATGCTTTCCAATGGCACTGCACCAAAGCCATCATGGCTATAATTAGTGTGATTTAACATCCCCCCCTTCCCCAACTAATTCTAAACATTTATCATAAGCATTTCTAACTTGTACCTGCAGGAAAATTGAGACACAGTTCATGGAAACTGAGCTCATATGATTCAGCCTCAGACCTTACAACTACTCTGGCCCTCGAGGGGTTCCTTAAGTTATTTGCTTTGATGTCGCCCTGTTTTATGAACAACCTTTGATTATTCACTGACTAGCTGATCTTCCTTACCAAAAAATGGTGTGACAAATGGTGGTACTCCAATAGGACTGCCTGCTGTGCTCTTTAACAGTGCTAGGAGACATCTACCGCGGCGTTTTAGTGCAGGATGATGTGAGCTTTAAAGATTAAAGGAATTTATCTTTGGCATAACTGCTCAGGCAGGTGGGACGCAGGCTGTTATGTTACAAAATGTGGGTCTGTGTGGGGGGCACCCTG